TAAGATCTATTAGGAAATTGGAATTACATAGTTAAGAAAATACATCTTCAAGCAAACAAAATGGGGAAGGACAAAAAAGAGAAAGGGACCATTTCATTCTTTGGATCTTTGTTCTATTGCCTTGTGTCACCAAAAGGCTATGATGTAAATGGTACAAGAACTACATTGTCTTCCTCCTCGGGGTCTTAGCCAGAGGCAGCCATGGACGCTGCTGCAAAACATTTCTCTTCTACACAAAAAATTTAATTAATTTTGTGTCTTTCGTAATTTTTTCAATAAGTTGTTTTTATGAGTTATATGATAAAGAATAATTGTTTTCTCTACAAATTTCTTTTTATTTATTTTATAATTTGAACATGAATTTTTAATAAAAAAAAATTAAAAATTTTAACTATTTAAACACTTTACGGGATTTTATCATTCATTATGCAATGTAAATGAGGCTATTTTTTACAGAAAAAGAATGCAAAGAAGGTTGGTATACGAATTAATCCCTTTGTTTGGCATATTTTCAAATTGAATTATCAATTTTCTAATGACTACTTTAAAATTTCAAAAAAAAAAAAAAATTCTACTGCATTCTCAATTCTAAAACACTAGTCAATAACTTAAATAATTTTGTGTTTATCTTTTTTCGTTAAAAATAAGAGATTTTGAATTTGATTCGTATGACATCTGAGTGAGGTAGGATAAGTGATAGGAGATGGTTGCTTCTTATTGTGCAACAAAGATAAAAAAAATTCTAAAACACTAATAATTAAATTAAAAAGATTGTTTTGATAATGGAAAGAACTTGTCCATTTAATATAATTAATATAGAATTATCAATTTCTTAATCACTATTTTAAAATTTCAAAACAAATTATACTGAATTTTGAATTTTAAAATACTAATTATTAAATTAAAAAAAAGCGTTTCGATAAGGAAGAAAAACTTATCCATTTAATATAATTAATATTTCACGGTTTACATTATAAAATACTTATAAACTCTTAAAAATTAAACTATAACTTTTTATTTAAATTGAGGGAAATAAAAAGGAAAAAAATTATATTTGTCTATTTCCCTCCCTTCCTCTGCCCTCCTTTTTCTTCATTTAAATAAATAATTAAATTAAAGAAATATAAAATAAAAAAATTTTCCCCTCTCTCTAATTTTTTACTAATTTTTTAACAATTAAATAAAAATTTTTTCCCCTACTCTCCATTCTCGGGCAAAAGGTACCGTTTACCCCTTAACTTTTCGATTTTGAGGGTTTTTACCCTCCATATTATAATACATGAATTTTTGCCCTCAATATTTTCAAGTTTGAGGAAATGAGGCAAAATTTAACACCGGAGCGTCACGTGTAGCACGTGCACCGTTGGCCTCCGTCAAGTATGCACATGTCAGCGCCACCTCAGACTTTTTTGACAACTTGGCATGCCAACTTGGAACCACATGAGCGGGAAATCTACTTGCTACTAATTTTATTTGTGGGTCCCACTACTAACTAAAGGTTTGAAAAAAAAAGGTTAAATCCTTGATTCAATCCCTTAACTTTCATTTTTGAACTAAATTTACTCTTGAACTTCAAAATATTGTGACTTGGCACCAAAAATATAATTTAATAAATAAAAATTTCTTTTTTTT